AATGTATTGTTTGTTTGTTTGTTTAGTATAGGGTTTTACGGCGCTCGCAACTACATAAGGTCATATGAGCGCGCGGGACACACCTAATACTTTTTCGTTGGTAGGAAATTTTGAATTTTGCCCGGGTGGCGGCCGAAGCCTACTCTTATCGATTTTAGACCACCAAGGGATCTTTAACGTGCGCAACTTGCACACAAGCCCTCCGAGATTGTTCGCCCTTGTCCGAGAAGGCTAGGTGTAGATCTTTCCTACCAGAAGATCAGGGGTGTGGCAGAAAGACAGCAGTTAGGAGGAGCCAAGGAGTAGCAGTAGAAAGGCTGCAGAAAGAGTCAGGATCCCAGAGGAGGGGCAAAGGAGGTGAGGGGGTGGGGGCAGAAAGTTGAAATGAAAGCAGACAACAGAACATTGTTAGAGATCAGGAAAGGATGTGAAAGGAGACAATTTTAGAGAAGAACATTTTTTGGTCGCTACCCGGAATCGAACCAGGGACCTTTGAATGAGAGCCCAACACCTTAACCTCTAGGCCACGAGAGCCCCCTGGGAAATGTATGAGTACATCCACAGGCGACAATCAACCAACAACGACACCGACCCTCTGGCCTGGTCCACGGCTCACGAACGAAAGAAAAGCGGCTAAGGCAGTTTTTGCCCAATACTTGTCCATGGTTCGCAGGGCGCAAGGGAATGAATGAGATTTTCTGTGTGTGTGCCTGGAGGGAGGGGGGGGGGTGAAAGTCATGCGGACGGGGATGAGCCGCGGGAGAAAACACGGGATTTGAATGGGATGAGTGAAAGAGAGGGACGACTCATGAGCCCTGGAGTGAACGGATCCTGTGTTTCTAGTTTTGTATTATTAAATGTTGCAATAAAGGCTGAAATAAAACCCCAAAAAAACAACAACACAAACACACACTCCTCACTCTCCATTTACACACCCACCATTACACACAGACACACTCACACATACACATGCATACACACACACACCATACAAACACACACACACACACACACACACACACACACACACACACACACACACACACACACAAACAAACAAACAACAACAAAAAAACAATAACAGGACGAGGGGAGGCAGGGGGTGGGGGTAAATTTGCTGTGCTCAAAGGCTAAAACGGAGAAGGGACTAACCGCCGAACCTGACACTGTGAGGGATGAGCCAGACCAACAGGAAGCCTAGAGTGGAGGATTGGAAAGTGTGTGAAAGAGGGTGCTCAAGGATAAATAAGAAGGCTAAAAAAGCACCTGGACATGGAAGCAGGGGCGAAGGCTGACTTGTTTGACAGGGTAATCAAAGTGAAACGGGACCAATAGATCTATATGGCCTGTAGATATCACAGAAGAATCTTACTCGAGGCGGCGACTCTGAGTTGTGAATGAAAACAAATCCGGAATTCTTATTGTATGTTCAACCGCCAAAATAATCGGGAAAGTATCTTATTAAATATCAGTTCCAACTAAAATTAAATTAACTTTAGATGTGAATACATAAACACAAAGCAAAGAAGCAGAGATGTCAGTACTAGATCTATATGTTATAGACCTACCAGAGAGTCTAACTCTTTGGTAGAACATGACAATTATCATTTTTTAAATTTCACATTTGGCTGTTTTTGTTAGCCTTTCGTGGCCAGGAGCTGGTGTCGTAATCGAGGTCACGATCTGATTATAGGACAGTAAAAAGTCGAGGAAAAAAAACAAGCACATGCAGCAGTAAAGAGATTGTTAGGAGTTAGTTCCCCTCACATTTGTGAGGTAGACTCGACCATTGTTCGTTAGCTTACTTAATCAGGGCCTGGGATTGATTATAACTGTGGCCCCAAAGGGGTGAACAGGGTATATGTGGCAATGAAACAGCCATGACTGCTATGCACATGTTCCCTAAACTGTATTGGCAGACTCTTCCCAGCCTCACTTTAAGCTTACTTAATCAAAGCTTGCGACTCCTTATGGAGTGGCCCGAGAGGGGTGAGGAGGCTATTTATGTGGCCGTGAAACCGTTTTGAAGGTTAGACATACTCATTGTGGATTACAAACCTCTTTTTACTTTTAATTTAAGAGGTTTACGTTTAAGGATGAATTTGACAGCGACAATGTTTCAAAATTAGGAAGGGAAGCAGTGATTATTTGATTATATAGACGCTTCGCCCCTGCATGGAAGGCTGGTGTCACTATATAATATAAATTATTGATGACCAAGGGTGGACAGAGGGGGACTATCGTCAGGTAGTCCAGCTGTCTGTCTGTCTGTCTCTTCCGTGCCTCTCTCTCTCTCTCTCTCTCTCTCTCTCTCTCTCTCTCTCTCTCTCTCTCAGTCACCAATTCATCTTAGATCTCTCTGTGTGCATGTTTGTCGTTTTAACTGTAATAGCTTATTAGCAGTGGCGTCGCGTGGGTTGTAGACAAGGTGGTGCATGATTGGAAAGTGAACAAATGGGCAATAGGCTTACTAGCTGCTATTAAAATTGTAATGAACGGTAGGCGGGCGCTCTGGTGTGGTCTGTTCTTTCTATAGCTTTCTGCGAGTTTCTCTGTGCGTGTTTGCGTGTGTGTGTGTGTGTGTGTGAGAGAGAGAGAGAGAGAGAGAGAGAGAGAGAGAGAGAGAGAGAGGGGGGGGAGAGAAAGAGAGAGAGAGAGAAAGAAAGAAAAAGAGAGAGAGAAAGAGAAAAAGAGAGAGAGAGAGAAAGAAAGAGAGAGAGAGAGAGAGAGAGAGAGAGAGAGAGAAAGAGAGAGAAAGAGAGAGAGAGAGAAAAAGGCAAAGAGACAGTGAATGTGATTGATGACCAAACCTTGTCAGTGTCTGATCGATCAGTAAAAAGCAGACAATGGAAACTGTACAATTTCTTTTTGGACAAGCTCAGCGTAAGCCATTCATACTTATAATACTACGTACAGGAAAAAGAGCGAACATTATTCTTGAGCTCAAAATAAAATCCCGCGGCTAATGAGGACCAAGCTCTTTTATGCGCACTTTCTCTTCTAACTGTAGCCTGCTAAATGGCACAAGAAGCAAAGCGTTAACGTGATTCATCTAGATTTCTAGAGAAAGTCAGTTAGAATCTGCAGGATATCCCGTAATCTACATCTTTCGATATTTACAACTGTTTCTAGATGATGCCGCATAAAAGCTGCAATAAAGTGAAACAATACTAACAACTCACTATGCTCACAATCTGAGAAGATTTAAAGATTTCTAATTAGATCTACTTAGCAGCACCAACAACCAGACTCAATTTCAAAATTCACCTTTACTGTTCTTAACAGC